TTGTTTTGCCTTTTCTGTATCAGCTGCTGCTAGTGTTCGATATTTGAATCAGAAACGGTTTTATGGTTCGCTCTGCACTTTTTAAAATTAATTATTTCCTGATAATTTTCTCGGAAACTTTGACATATTTGAGATATTTGAATCAGAAATGTTTTTATGGTTCGCCCTGGACTTGGAACATTAGGGTTATAAGAGATAAAAATGCCCTTAATGGAGTAGGGATTTATGAAAATTCATTAATAATAGATTTCTAAGCTTAATACATAGAAGTTCTGCATCTTGCACATTTTTTGTTTCTTAACTAAAGATTGCCTGAAAGAAATCAGATTACATAGCTGCTGTTTTTCTATGATAGCGGCAACAAGTTTAGTATTTAGCTACTAATTATGTTTTTACATCCCAAATATGCCATCCACAGGGACTCATAACTACTATAGAAGGCCAAGAAGATAAAACTACTACAATATATGCTAGGAACTATATATAGTTAAACAATATCCAGTTCTCCATGGATCTTTCTGATTGCTTTGGTCAGGGCTTCCTGTTGCAGAGGTTTTCCAAGACAATCATCCATTCCAGCTGTAATTGCCTTTCTTGTTTCTTCCCCTGGTGCATGACCAGTTAGCGCAAAAATTGGCAAGTGAACACCAAAAACCTTTTCCTCTTCCCTTATTCGTCTTGCTGCCTCATATCCATCCATCAATGGCATCTACACAACATTCAATTCAAGCACATGGTAATTCAAACTCAGAAAATTTTTATCTAAGTATATGATGGAGATGGGAATCATAGGTTTTACCTGGCAGTCCATTAGTATGTAGTCAAAAGGAAGAACATGTGAAGCCGCATTTTCTGTTCGATCTCTGAGACCATTGCGAACCAGGTTTAGAGCTTCCTCTCCATTTTCACATACCTCAACGATAGCACCATCTTGCTCAAGTTTCTTCATGGTGACCTTACGGAGCGTCTTGTTATCCTCGGCTACCAAGATTCTCTTCCCTGTCCAAAGTTGCTTCTTGCTTGAATCAACACATTTTTCTTGTCTTTCAATCTGCCTGGGCTGGTATTGAGAGTGAGGTGGAGATGATCTCAAATTCCTCCTAGATGTTGGATATCTAGAACGAGGATATGATCCCAATCTTCCATTCCTCGGACTAGTCTCTTCTTGTATCTCCCTTTGTTGGAGCGGATGTTCCTGTGAAATTTGATTTTCCAACCTTGGTTTTGTAGAAGACGAGGCACAATCTTGAGGAACCTTTTCAGCTTGGTAGATGCTTTTACTCTTCAGATTACCTCCAAATTCAGGTAGGAGTTTAATTACTTGATACAATCGGCTTCCATGGAAAGGCTTTACCAGAATATCATCATCAGCCTCAGAGATTTTCTCTTTGGAATTGATTTTCCGTGGAACTGAGTTATCCAACCAAACAACCTTACAAGTACTCTGGAGGCTTCGTCGGAATTTAGATACAATCTCATCGAGTTTTGCAACAGGTCCTGCTCCTGCATCAATCACAAGTAGTATGAACCACGGAAAACCTCTCTTTCTGGACAACTGTAGTTTTTGCTCTGTTCCATCCATGGCGCTCAGAGGGAAATCCTTAGAACTTGCACTGGACATGTCACTTCTCGAACTCCCTTCCAATTTTTTCGTAGAATTGTGAGGAGAAGTAATCTGTTTGGATTTCATTTTCTCGAGCACAGAAGAAAGTTGCTCCCATCTTTCTACAACTAACATATTTATCCCCAAACTCTCCATGTATTTCTGCAAACTTGCCCGACGCCCAATGTTCTGAATCAAGAGAACAACTTGAGATCCTTCAAGCCTAGGACTTGAACTGAGAATGCCCAGCCTGGGACTAGGATTTTGGATGCTCGGACAGGGACTGAGGGTCGAAATAGTTTGCCCTAAACGTTGCACAACATCTGCACCTGTATGATCTTCTCTGCCCTCATTTTCTCCTCTAGTATTATCAGTGCCGACGATATCGGATACAGTGAGGAAGACATTGAACCTGAAGCATGTTCCTTTTTCATCTACTGGTTTATCAACAATTCCTATCTCTCCACCCATTAGACGTACCTAATGCAAAATTTTAGAAAAATAAAAGAATTAGACTAAATTCATCTCTCAAGATAGGTTAAAATTAATGTCATAATTTGTACAAACCAGGGATTGAACAATTCCAAGCCCCAGTCCTGTTCCAGAAAGGGCGGTTTCTTCTTCGTCCCTTCCAATGGTTGTTTCTGTTCGGTCCTTTCTAAGGGCTGTTTCTTTAGCCTGAACAAAATTTTCAAAGACGGACTTTCGTTTCTCCTTCGGAATTCCTTTCCCTGTATCATCCACCTCAAAAACAAATTCCATGGAGTTAGGATTCTGTCTCACCGCGACAATGGCTGCCATGTCATTACAGGTTTCCCTGTTCTTGCAAAACATGTTAGTTGTCAAGCATTTGTTGAGGCCACTATGACTAGAAGCAAGAATGTCACTTTGAAGGCTAAGTTTCTGGACCCAAGCTCGTATGGTTACGTGCCCCTCAAATGTAAATTTCACAGCATTGCTTATTAAATTGCAGAGGACTTGCTTCAATCTCCCTCTGTCTCCTCTCACATGTGAAAATTTGAGGATAGACCCATCATGAGGATCTAATACCACGTCCACACCTTTCTTCATTCCCATAATATGGAAAAAATCGGCTACTTGTTCCAGCAACTCAGCCAGATTGAATTCTTCTTCTTCCAATTGCATTTTCCCGGCTTCAATCTTGCTCATATCTAGAATGGAATTCAATAATCCTGAAAAGATAGTGAGCAATGAACAAATATATGTAAGATATGTTACAAAAACACAGCTTAGGTCCATGTAACATGAACTGCTGAAGATGGAATAAATATTACCTAATAAATCCTTTGTGCATGATTCCATATCTTTGAGATTTGATTCTAAATCAGACCCAGGAAGGACTTCATCTTTGGATATCCTTATCAATTCAGTAATGGCAGCTAGGGGTGTTCGGATGTCATGGCTAGCGCTAGCAAAGGCAAGACTCTTGTTCATACTTTTTCTCTCGGCTTGCTGAGTTGCTTCCATTTGCTTGATGAGCGTGGCACATAGGTGCATCTCTCTTCTTCCTGCTCGGACCATTAGGAGTACAAAGCTGAGGACAGAGATCATCACCACGGCCACCATTATTGCCAAAAGAATCAGTGCTAGTCTGTTGTTCTCCTTAACAAGGTTTACTGATCCTTCGTACGGCATTAGCAATGCATATACCTATAAAAAATACATATGAACAAGTATTGCAATTTTAGGTGTATTCTCAAGTCAATTTGCACAAACTAAAATAATTAGCTCGATCACAAGATTGGGAACATACCAACTGCACTCCCAAAATTTCAATCTGTGAGCAAAAGACCTTGAATTTTGCTTCTCCTATAGCCAAAATACCTGTACATTCCGTGGCATTCCTCGGTATGCACCGGGAAGTTCCAATTTGAGCTATTCCATGATCATTTGCATTCTCTGCTTGAAAGGAAATTGAACTGTTAGCAAAGGTCATGTGAGTATTTGGAATCCCCTCCATCAGCATTTCTCCATCCTTGGTGGCCAAGTACAAGTTCCCTCCATAAAGTTCTATACCCTCCATTATATCAATCAATGACTTGACAGGAAACCCTAGAGAGATGACTGCTCTTCCATGAATCCCAATGCTGTGTAGAATAAGAGAACCATTATCCCCGGCACCCCATCCGTCTCCTAATGAAGCATAAACGTCCATACTATTTAAAGATGCTTGGAACCAGCTGGTGTTCACAACACTGAACGGCACCTGGAATGCAACAGGTCCTCCATATAGCTTCCCTATCAAAGGATCCACTGGTTGCTTGTACCAAACATTCTCCATTCTTCCTTCTATGTTGCTCGAATTGGAGTGAAGTGCAAGAACTTGATTTCCTTCCGTGTAGTATGAAAAGAAGCCTCCATTTAATCCTATGTATGAGATTTGGGACACCAAAGGGATTGTTGTAAAGGCTTGAAACAACATGGGAGCTGCCTGATTTTTATCATAATTTATCATAATTCAAAAATCACGCGGAAATTTTAGATAAGAGATCAAAATGGTTAAGAGTATGTGTATCTCTATACCAGAATAGAGTCAAAAATAGTGAAACGATGCAATACAAACCTTGCTTTCAATCTCACTGGAGAAGAGTTCACTTCCATTGACGATGAGACTCACAAGTTTTGCCAGACGCGAAGTGGATGAGTTCAGTGGACTAAGCAATTTTCCGACATTCTCAATTTCGGATTGAAGTCTGGACTGTAATCGTCTGTTGTTCAACTTCACGTCACGTTCAATGTGTCTTGTCGTCCGATGCCAACATGGGATCACCAAAGCAGGAGGCAACAGCACCACGAAAGCCTATATAATTTGAAGACGTATTAGATTAAAGAAATTTTCTATAACCAAATGATTTTTCTTTTCCTTTTCTTCTTTGAAATCGAAAAATAAGAAAAATGAAAAAGGGTGGGATTGGGAGTATTTTGGAGGGAGTACCAGGAAGATGAAGAAGGAGACAGGTCGAGCCGCTATTAATGAGCTGAGCTTCATTGGATCTTTGAACTATGATCGAACTTCTTCTTTTTTTTTTCGGTTTCTGCACATTCATGAGAATTTAGTAAATCATGGAGTTAAATGCTGAATCCTCAAAATATGGAATATTGTAATCATTCAGATTTGGTGGAAATTTCTTACTAATATTAATGTCTTAAATTAGGGTAATGTTTATGGTAGACATAATCTGTCCGCAGTTTATGACTCACTGTAGAATAATGTAACAAAAAAAAGAAAAAAAGAAAAGAGAGAGAGATGGAATTTTGATTTAAAAATCAAACTTTTCTTTTATTAATATTTAGGGTCAAGGTGTTCTTGAACCATTTTTTATATATCTCGAGACTTATTTCTCCTCAAATAATTTTAAAAATGTATATTGACTAATGTATTTAAAAAAATAAATTTATTTTAGATGGGGCCCTCCGACTTAAAACTTATAATCTAACTTACATAACAACATCTATTTACTTGTGGATTCAATCTTTAGGTTCAAACGTTTGTTTCTTTAGAAAATGTTGGATGCAAGAAGGGTTAAAAGATTAATGGTGCATGCAATAATAACAAGTACTGAACAAAATTAATGGTTGGAGCAGCATTATATATAATCCTAATTACACACAAGAGAGAGTGAAATGATTATTATAATTACAACTATAAGGAATGCTACCTGAACTTGGCAGATTGTTGAGTGCATTATTCTAAAAGATAAAATATTATTTGTTTGAAAAAAATATTGTGTAATTTAAACTATATTAAATTACATAACATTGATTATTAGATAAAAATTAAGTCTTCTAATATTGAGGTGCTCTCCTATTCAATACTCTATTTTTATAATTTGATATTATTTGAATTGTAAAATAATGTTTCAATTTGTTCATATATCATAATAAATTTACTTATGGCTTTAGCTAGGTGATTTCTATTTGATTAACATGATAAAAATTTCGAAACCTTTTTTTTTTTTATTTCTTTTCCAAAAAGTGTTGACATTTCGAAGAGAAAGACATACATATTGATTTGTAAGACATATCAATTATAAGATATGTGATTAAGCTGAGTGACTTGTAGCTATCATGCCTAAAGTGAACAGAAGGCTGCTTTATAATAAGTTCGAAGGCAGAATGGGTAGAACGAGTTAATTTTGGAGTTTTGACTTTTGAGATTGATATGCTGCAGCCTGCAGGGTTGTTTTATTCTGGACTTTTGAGACTGATATGCTACAAGGCTGTGTTTTTCTGTGAGTGGAGTATGGTTATGTGTGGGGTTGAGTACGGTTCAATTTTGGTTTAACTAAAATCAGTATTTGAACTATCCGTTTTTTAATTTCTTTATTTTTTTACTAACCAAAATCAAACCGAAAATATTTAGGGATTTTTGGTTTGGTAACCAAAATAATCAATTTTAATATTTTGGTTATAAGTATTAATCAAATTAATATTGAATGCCTATTTCAAGTATAATAATGACTATAATTAACCAAAATTTAGAATTTTTAAAGGATATAAATATAATAAAATACAAAAAAATGGATAAATAATAGTAAAATATAAAATATGAAGCTCTTTTTTTTTTTTAACTTTTAGATATATTTTAAATTTAAATGCTAAATTATAACAAAATTTATAAGGTAAAATTTGACTATGAAATTAAATAAGATGATTTTTATGTTTATTTATAATATTTAAATAATAATTAATTATTTATTAATATAAAATTTTATTTTTGGTTATATATTTGATTTCGGTTTTTCAATCTTCTAACTATTAATTGACCAAATTTTTTTGGTTATTCAACTAAAATTAAAAACATAACCAATACCAATTTATAACTAATTATTTGATTATTTTTTTTATCAATTTTTTATTACCTATTTGATTAATCAACCGTTTGCTCAGCCTTAATTATATGTATGCAGACTGTAATATTATAAGATTTTGAGAAAGGGTACCTCTCGAACTCTAAGTGATGAAATTTTCTACTATTCAAAAATGAAAAAGAAAAAAAAAAAAGAAAAGAAAAGAAAGAAAGCTATCATGCCTATAGTGCATATGCCTTAATCTAAAATATTGTCCAAATTCCAGTCTCATATTCGAATAACTTTTCAAACCATTTTTGTATTTGAAAAATTATCAACCTTTCTATCTCGAATTAAGTTCCAACAACAATATAACTTGAAATAATAAGTTTTTATGAATCTAATGTGAAGATTGGTGTATATTCAAAATCATAGAAACTTTATAAATCAAATTAAATGTTTTTGAATTATAAAATTGTTTAATTAAGACAAAAAAATAACAAAAAGAAGAAGAAGAAGAAGATCAACACAATAATTCACAAAATGAAATGAACATACCTGAGCTGAATCAACATCTTCAGTTTGATACATATAGAAATTCGATCCACAAAAATGCATGCCTCTAAATCTCATAACAACACAAATTTTACATGCATGAACAAAAAAATAACCCCTTTTGGGTTTGTTTCTTCTTTTTTAGAAGAAATCCATTAAGAAGAAGAGAAGTTCATGAAGATATCTAGAAAATCTAAACTGATTATATAATTATAGAATATCTCAAATTCCCATATATCCACCAAGAAAGACTCATTTTGGTCATTCATATATATATATATATATAGTGTATATAAAAATTAGAGAAAAAAACAAGCATTAAATTCAAGAAGAAAAGAAACAAATCAAATTTACATAGAAAATAAATCTTAGTAATAGATTTTCAATACTAAACACAAAAGAGAAAAGAAACTAGAAAACTAGAGTTCTGATAGAAATGAAAAATGAAGAAATTACAGACGATCTTTAAGAGCAGTGACTCACAATGGTGGTGGTCGGTTTCAGACAGGAGAGGAAGAAAACCTAAGACTTCTTTTCTATGTACTTCTGTTAATGGACAAGAATTTAGGTTGCAATTTATATGAAAAAGGCAATGGTATTTTCTATATATATTTTTGGACCATACCAATGAAGAGCACATGGTTTTAGACTAAAACTTAAAAAATTTTCAGTGGTTTTTGGTTTCAGGATAATTAACTTTAAAAGGATTTTAATTTATTATGAGGAGTTTCAAAAAGAAAACAAATATAAGGGGGAGAAAAATTGTGCATGATTTCTTGTTTTTGAGAAAAAGAAGAAACAAGGAAAAATAAGTGATTTAAGAACTTGAAGAAAATTGTAAGAGTATTTAGTTTCAGATGGAGTATGCAGAGTTTTAACATGTGTTATGTATTAGGGTTTATACATGACCCCAGTGGCGTAGCTAAAGAAAAAAAAATAGGGGGACAAAATGAAATATTGATAAAGAAATGAATTAACATTGTATAAAATAAATAGAAATTTAAAGCAAAAAATTAATAATTTATATTAATAATTTTTCAAAAGTTTAGGGAAACCTGTCCCAGGACCTCCTACCTCTGCTGGGGTAATATGCCATGTAATTAAGTTTGCTCATCAACATCCATATACATGTTCATAATTATGTCTAGTAATTTAATTATTTACTTTAATTTATAACTAATGGATTGTCTTTCAACGATCGATAGATACAAGATACGCATACATAATTTTATGACACGTAAGAATATATTTATTGTTGATTAAAAAAAAGAATATATTTATTCTTCCTACAAAAATAATATACATAAAATTAATTATTAAATAGTATATAAGGTTGTAAAAAAAATTATAAAAAATAATTGTCCCTAAATTATTTTTCAATAGAAATTCAAACCAACAATTTTTTTTACTTAATTCTAACTTATTAATTATTTTGAATGAGAATATGGCAGGGGTAATTAAAATGAGAAAGAGAGGATATCTGAATTTAATTAGAGTTGATTTGATAATTACTCCAGAGTATCCAATAAGATTAGGTTCGAAAATTATACTAATAATAACTTGATTTGCTTATTGCATTCTCTTACTTACCTTAAACAACAATAAATTAATTTAGTCCCTAGAAATCTTTCCTGTAAAATAATTTATTCAAGTAACCTTGATTAATTGTTATGTATTGACTATGGGAGGAGCAGATGTAGAGATGAAAGGCACATGCCTTCCGGTATTAACTTTGGACTCATTTCCTTAAGTCGTGTAGTTAGGGGACTTAAAACCCTTTAACAAATAACTTGGAGGGAGAAAAGCTTATAAATTGTTCACTCAATGCAAAGAATGACGTTTTTCCTATGATTAACATTAGCCACCTAAACTGCAACGTCTTAAGTGGTTCGATAATAATTTTCTTTCAATAAAAATAAAAAAACATTTTAAGTTAAAGAATGAGAAAAGATTCTCTCTTTATTATGTAACTCAAAATAAATAAAAAATAAAAACATCAACCATCTAAAAGCCATTGGAAAATAATTTCCTCACTAATGTAGTCTAGCAATTCTCACGCCCATGGATTGTAGGGTCTGTTTTTGGGAGGTTTTTGATTTTTATGATAGGATGAGATTCATGTTTGATACATTCCAACCAAACTATATATAGCACAGTAAGGATACATTTCTAGAACACAACTTTGAACCAAAGAAACAAGTGATAATCAAAATACAGGATGCAAATGCAATATTACTGGAAAAATATACAGTATAAACCAATGCCAGTCATTTGTGGGAGAAGTCAGGTACACTGACCATCAACTTTAAAAGGACCTCTTCGCTTTACCCGTTTCTTCATCATCTCAGCCCATCTTGCAAAGACATTGGAGACTTCAAACTTTCCAGAGAACTTCATCTTTTGAGCTAATTCCTCAAGTATGTCGGCTTTCCCAGCTCGAGCAAAATCAGCAACAAACTTGTTGTAGTCAAGCTGCGGAGCTTTCATTCCTTTCTCGAGCATTTCCTCTAAATATTTACAAGCATCTCCTGATCTCCCTAGACGGATCAACCCTCCTATGAAAACAGTGTAGGAATTGTCATCAGGGCAAATGCCCTTTTTACTCATCTCTTCCCAAATTGCATAGCCCATCTCATAGTTTCTGTCCTGGAAGAAAGATTTCATCATCATGTTAAAAGTGTGAACTGTTGGTTGAATTCCGCTGTGAATCATCTTCTTGTACACCCTCGCTGCATCATCTGGCATCCGCTGATTTGCCAACAACTTAATGAGGGCATTATAGGTGCACCCATCAGGTGGGCAACCCTTTTCTTTCATCTCTTTCAATGATGCATAGACCATATCCATCCTTTTCTGATTCCCAAACCCTGTGATTAAACAAGTGTAGACCGCATTATCTGGTTGGCATCCAGCACCCAGCATCTCATCAAAATACTCAACTGCATCGTTCATCTTTGACTGCTTGCAAAAATCCCGAATCATAATTGTATAACTCTGGACAGTAGGCAAAGGCCCCTTTGACTTCATAACAGTAAACAACTTTATTGCCTCAGATCTCTTCTTAGTCTTCAACAGCCCTTCAAGCATGATATTATGTGCAACAATATCGGGCTTAATTCCCACATCAATCATCTCATTCCACAGTCTCCCTGCTTCAACCAAATTCTTTACCTTGCACCAACCATTAATCAATACAGTATAAGTACCTAAATTTGGCGTAAATCTCCCTTTCAACTTATCAAAAAGTGCTTGTGCTTCTTTCCCTAGCTTAGCCTTCCCAAGACTGTCAAGCAAGAAGTTAATGGTCTCAGCACCCACAGTATATTTATACTTCTTCATCAACTCAAAAATTGCAACAGCTTTCTTCCTCTCCTTTGCGGCTGCAAATGCTTTAATAGCAATCACAAATGTTTCCTTTGTCAAAAGCCCCTTTGTGCCCATTTCTTCAAGCATCGCCACCATACTCTCAAATTGTCTGGTCCTTGCTAAAACACCCATCATGGCATTATAAGTCCTTGAATCATGAGCAAACCCTGGCTTCTGTCCTGCCCAACAGAAGAACCTAACTGCCGGTTTCCTAGCATGTTTGAATCGTTCCAATACATCTATAACCAGATCATGTGATAGAGCAATATCACATTCATCTAAAACTGCCTCCATATTCCGATCCAGTGTAAACAATTCATCAATCACCTTGCATACCCTCTCAACTTCGTTTGGATCCGCACCTGACTCAACACTACCTACTACATTTTCCTCACCATCATTAACATCATCAGATTCATTACCATTTTCGGAATCAGACTCCATATCACAATCAGTACCACTACAAAAGCCCCTAAAACTCAAATTCCAGACATTCCCTTGTAAGCTATGATTGGGCAGTAAAGAAATTCTCGAATATGGAAGAATCACTGGCATTTTTTCTTGTAGATTAGAGACCCCAGAGGGGTGTGGCAAAAAACATGGAACTTGACAGCTAGAATTATGGAAACTATAATAACCACAAGAATGAAGCAAACGAGACAAGGGCACAGACCTACCACACAGAAAGAATTCTTGCTCTCCTTCACTTCCTCTCTCTCGTAGTCGCCGTCCTTGATCCAGAGAGAATAGCTCCGTGGTAGTGTAGAGTCTGCCATGGCACAAACTCGAACAAAGACGAGACTCCTTGTATTGCTGAACCAGAATCGAGGAATTCGCAAGCTTTTTCAGAGAAAGAGACATTTATCCGCCATTAAAACGGAAAACTGAAAATGGGTGCTTCTGTAAAACTGGGAGAAGAGAGATCGGAGAAGACAGTGGCGACGGCGGCAGAGCTAAGTAACAACTGGTGTAAGGTGGAACCGACGGTTGTTGTTGGATGGGTACCGTTGTTCCGAAGATCAGATTCCACCTTTCATAAAACCAACCTTGGGCTCGGAATCGGAACGCCATCAAGCCCTGATTTTTTGGGCCTCAAGCCCAATCCCATTTAGTCAGTATACGAGGAAGATGAACTGCGGCTGCGCAGCCAATTTTCCCGCCAAAGATTTACCCTAGCCGCAGAAATTCCCGCCATCTTTGGTACTATAGACTCCGGTCGGTGAACGACGCCGCCGTTCTCCTTATTCATCGAAACGCCTTCGAGAAGACGATCGGGTTCTGCTTTTGAGTTAATCTCCATTTCGATAGATCGTTGGGAGAATGGCGCCGTCACGTCGCAACATCAGCGGCAGATCGCCGCTTGTTAATCAAAATCGGCAGATTACTTCTTTCTTCTCTAAGACTGCCTCTGCATCCCATTCTGCTTCTCCTTCCCCTGCCATCTCCATACAAAACCCTAAACCTAAACTAAGTATGAGTCCACGCTCCAGTCCGACTCCGACCACGCGGTCGCCAATCCAATCCAAGCTGAAGAAGCCCCTCCTAGTCATCGGCCAAAGGGCCTCCACGCCGACTCCTAAATCCTACGGGGAGGAGGTTCTGGAAAGGAGGATTGAGGTTTACAGGCCGTTGGAAAAGGCCTGGTACAAGGGTGTTGTGAAATCTTTTGACAAGGAGTCCGGGAAGCATTTGGTTCACTATGATGATGCTGAGGAGGAATCATTGGATTTGGAGAAGGAGAGAATTGAGTGGGTCCATGAAGAGGTTCGAGTCTTCAAGAGGTTGCGGCGCGGGGTTTCTTCTGCTTTCAAAAGGGTGGTGATTGAGGATGACGATGAATTGGAGAATGTGGAGGACAAGAGTAATCATCATAGCGATGAAGATTGGGGGAAGAAAAATAAAAATGTGGAGGAAGTTAGTGATGATACTGAAGAGGAAGATACTGATTTGAGGATACAGAAGAGGAGGAAATAGAAATGTCAGAAGGCAATTTGGACACTGGTAGTAAGACTAGTGGAGATGTGACTAAGGCAGAGTAAGGCAAGGCTTAAGGTTTCTACCATGGAGCCTGTGAATGTTACTGGAAGTAAGTGATGGTGATTGATTTTATGTATGTTTTAGGGCTTTCTATAATTTGTAATTCCTCCTTTAAGTTGTGTATATTTTGAGGAAGAAAAAAAAGTGAAATGTATGGTTTGGATTTTGTACCAAATTTGTTTTCTTACTGCTATGGATGATGGGTGTGGTCTCTCCTGGAAAATTAGGGGACTTCCGGAGACCATATTTTCTTGCAATTTCTTTCTTTCTGTCTTTTTTCCCATCTTTCTGCTCTACTGGTATGGATTAAATAAGATTAATTCCATTTTCATTTTTTTTTTCTCCCAGTGATTCAAAATTTAATGTATCCGAGCAGTGGCAAAAATTCTGGAATCAATATATAGTACTGATGGGTGCTCGTTCTTTGGATGCTTTACTGTAGCTGAGAAGGCATCTACTAGTTTTAATGACTCTTTAATTGGTGATGTGTCAGAGAGGTTTAGGCCGACCATAAGTTATTGTTTCTTTTTATATATTAAACATGCTCTCTTTGGCAGTTGGTTTCATTAATGG